ATGCGGAACCATCTCACACCTGTCAGAATGGCCAACATCAACAAATCAACAAACGACAAGTGTTGGCGAGGTTGTGGAGAAAAAGGAACCCTCGTGCACTGCTAGTGGGAATGCAGACTGGTGCAACCACTGTGGAGAACAGTGTGGAGTTTCCTCAAAAAACTGAAAATGGAACTCCCATTTGACCCAATAATCCCATTCCTAGGAATATATCCCAAGAAACTAGAAACACCAATCAGAAAGGATATATGCACCCCTATGTTCATAGCAGTATAATCTACAATAGCTAGAATCTGGAAACAGCCTAGATACCCGTCAGCAGATGATTGGATCAAAAAACCGTGGTACATCTACACAATGGAATACTATGCTGCCATAAAAAAGAAGGAATTCTCATCATTTGCAGCAACCTGAATGGAATTGGAGAACATCATGCTGAGTGAAATAATCCAGTCAATGAAAGAAAAACACCACATGACCTCACTCATTTGTGGATAATAAAGAACATTATAAACTGATGAACCAAAAGATAGATATAGAGACAATATATCAACAAGCAGACTGTCAAATTACAGCGGGGAGGGGAGGAAGATCTGGGGGAGATAATAGATCAACCGAAGGACTTTTATACATGCACATAAGTACAATCAATGGACATAAAACTCTGGGGAGGGAGGGGATGTGTGGGACAGAGGGGGGGGGGAATCAAAAAAATATATTAAAAAAAAAAAAAGACTGAAGAAAGGACCTCTCTTCCACTATTTCGAATACTTAATAGCTAATTTAATAACATCACATGTACCATTTTAAGGAAGTGATGATTTAGTGGGAAATTAGTGCTTTGCATTTGTATACTGTAAATATAAATGATGATTTGTTTGGGGGAAAAAAAAAAGACAAAGCTCTCCTATTAAAATGGGCTAATTAACAACAACAACAAAAATCTATCTCACGTTTGCTGTTCGTGCCCCCACAATGTGGGAGAAAGGTCCTACTTAATCCAACTGGTTAAACCTCTTGATGGTGCACACTGAGTCTACTCTTACCACTTATTTCCAGGGCCAGCAGGGGAAATTTACAAAAATGCAGAAACATAACAGTGACCTCCTTCATTTCTAAAAGAAGCATTGGTTAGGCAGTAAAACTTTCCTTTTGTATAATCAACAGGAAAAGGATTAGTTTTATGCCTTCAACAGGCTAATATATTGATAACAAACCTCAGAAAGAGGCTATACAGCTATAAGAAAAAAAGAAAAAAAGCCTATACCTTCAATTAGAAACAAAAACAAACCAAAAAAAAGAAGGTACCAACAGGCAAAACTCTACAATGTCCTGCTTCCCTTGTTTGGTGGAGAGGAAGTGGGGTGAAAGAAGAGCAGGAGGGACACCACTAGGACTGACTTTTTATTTTTGTTTTATTTTACAATCACTGAGTTCTTCCTTCTACTTACATGTAAAGACATTCATCACTGTCTTCTTGTTATCTTCAGAAATGTTTGGAATATATGCAAATTATTTTTTTAAATGCAGCAGTTGATGCTTGGAAATTAGGCAGGTTGCCTGTGGGCACATCCTATATAATAAAAACCTAATATGCAAATTGACCGAACAGTGGAATGACTAGTAGCTATAATGTGCACTGATCACTAGGGGGCAGATGCTCAACACAGGAGCTGCCCCTAGCCCACAGGCCCCACGCCAGCCAAGGCGGGTGCCAGTCATGCGGGGAGGGGGCCCAATCGCCCTGCCGATTGCCCCACAGATTAATCTTGATCATCAGTCAGGCCTAGGGAACCTAACCATGCATGAATTTCCTGCACTGGACCTCTAATAATTAAATAAGTGACTAGTAAATATTCTCTGGCTGATACATGAACAAATCATGCTCCAGACCAAGTACTTCACTGTATACAGTCTTCAAGCAGAAAATACAAGGCAGGGGAGCAACAATGGCTCCAGGAAATAAGACTAAATTTTTCATTAACCAGGTCCAGACTACCACACACATCTTGATCAAGCAGAGCTCCTTGAGCTCAGTACTATCCACGGTTATTATATAAAAAGCATTACCAATTGGGAATAAAGAAAAAAACAGAAAGGAGAGGCTGATTGCTTCTCAATTATTTTGCTCCTAAAAACTAGATCCTTCTACCTATTTCCTTTCCAAATCTTATTATTTCTCCTCCTTTATGTGTCCCTCTATTCTCCTTCACAAGAAAAATAATTCTACTATAGAATTCTTTGTTGTTTTCTTCCTTTTTTGCTTTTAAAAGAAGAAAGTTGGTGGAAATGAAGTTAATGATTATTAACTTGGCCTTGTCCTTATTATGGGAAAGGTTAAAGTGTACACAGCTACTAGTCCAATTAGAGTGAAGAAAACTAATCAGCATTATTCTTTCTCTCCAGCTATTAAATACTATGGCTTCAATCAACTAATTTCAGGGAAAGCAAAGAAGACAGCAGGCAAATGACATAATCAAATTTAGCCACTTAACCTGAAAAATTAGGGTTTTATCAAGCTCCATTAAGCACCCAAAAAAGTATTTGGGCAACAGTAGATGGGTGCCATTCCAAATGATCAGATCTTTGATTTGCAAACAGGATGTGGTTTAATAACCAAAACACAGAACTAGTTATCTAGAGCCTAAAATAATTCCATTTAACAGGTTTAACAATATGTAGCACACACTCTCCAGTTGACAGAAACACCTCTCAATGACAGGTAGCAAATCCTCAACATCTCCACAGATCACTTAGCAGCTGGAGGGCTATGGCCATCCCTTGAAGGTGAATTCAGAATAGACTGGAAACTCAGTACTGGACTTGTTTGTCAGAAAAGGGAAGTATATCTCACTGAATTCGAGGTTCATATAAAAACCAGAAGTTGTGCTGCATTAAGAAAAACACTGTCTACAACTACAAGGTAGTTATTTGGAGGAACGAGATGAAAAGCAGTTAGCTAAGATTTAACTTGCCTATGTTATTTTCTTTACTAAAATCAGCCCCCAGGAGAAATATACCCTTGTTTGGGCCTTGTTGATGGTACTTTCCCCTCTATCAATTCATCTCTTCCTACCCCCTCCCTAGAAGTAGGATTAGAGCTCAAGTCATCTGAAAGCCTCCCCAGAAAACTGTTTCAAAGGGAAGGCTTCTTGGGAAGAACAATAGAGAAAGAAGTTACTCATATGTCTTTTGTAATGTTCATCCAAACCAGTTTTTTATTACCTTTCAATGGATAAGAACTCCTCAACCAGCAGAGTAAATTCATTCACAAAAAGGTAATAAAATGAAATAAACATTTTATTTCATTTCTTATCTACCTCCAAATCTATTTCCTAAGAAATTTACAGCATCCCATTGTCACATAATCATGGTTTCTATTTTTGTGATTAAACTGTAGCTCTACTGTAATGGAGGTAAAGGCTTAATTTAGAAGAACAGGATAATCCTAATTTATACAATAGTAGTAAATATCCCAATTACCATATTTTGAGCATTTTATAATACATTGTGTCTTTTTGCATCAGATTTCCCCACTTGGACTGCAAAGCTTGAACCTAAGTCTTCTACATGTCTTATAACATCCGTAGTGCCCACCACTGGGATACGCACAAAGCAATTAGATGACAGATCTATGGGGGTGTTTTTTGTGTGTTTTTTTTTCACAAGCCAGGCCCTAACTGTTCTATATAAAACTAAACATATTTTAAGTGCCAATCCTGTGTAAGGCATTCTAATATTCTAAAAGACTAAGAGAAATATGTGCTATACCACACAATAGCAGGCCTTTTATCCTCCCAGCCTAACTCATTTCACCTTGAGGCCAAGACACTCTGTCATTCTCTAACTGCCATCTGTTTAATTAATTCTATATAAAATGAAAATTTTAATTCTATATAATTCTATATAAAATGAAAATGCTTTTAATTCTATATAAAATGAAAATTTAATTCTATATAAAATGCTTTTAATTCTATATAAAATGAAAATTTTTTGTGAAAGTAATTTAAGCACAGTTGAAATATCACTCAAAATGATGTTACCATATGGCCCAACCATAAATATGGTTTCCACTCATAAAGACCTATGCATCACAACCAGAGCACTAGATTCCAGCTTTTCAAAACTCTAAATTTTACATGCATAAAATAGAATTTGATTCCTTTGTGTTGATGACTGCACTCATTAATTTGCTTTAAAGTAATAATCCTCGAACACATATTCAGCAGCTGCCTTAAAGAAAATTGCTAACCCCTGCTAATTTAGATAAAACCAATATCCAAAGCACTCCTGACTTTTCATTTAATCCCACTTTATCTCCACCCCAGAACCCCATCCCTCACCACTCCCCAGCCCCCACCCTCATCACACATACCAGCCCAGCACTTTTGAGATCAATCATAACCCTTTGTGACTGTTCAAGCCTTGTACCTTTCCCTGGAATAACCAGTCCCATTATATTCACCACCTCACTATAGGTGGATGCTCAAACCTCATTTTCTCACGGAAGTGTTCTATGATTTCTCTCACCGTTTAAACATTTCCTAAACATGCTATGTGTCAGCCACTGTCATGTAATTTTGTGTAGATCAATACACTTCTCACATTTTGTTATATGAATTTTGGATGTCAGCTCTGATCTCCACCCTGCTCTAGCCACAGTTTCACTAGGACCCTGTGACTCTTGAACACTTTAAAAGGGATCTCCTTAGATGTCCATTGGCACAGTATTTACAGTAATTTGGTATCCTGATTGAACTGTAGTCCTACAACAGGCATTTTGGGTGAAATACAGTCCGAGGGTAGGAGTTCAGTGAGGTGAATGGCATTAGTGGACTAAATCTCGGGGAGGCTATGACAGCGGGCGGGATAGGGCAGGAGAAAGTGGAGACTAGAGTAGAGGGCAAAAGCCCGACGAAGGGCGTCTCAGGAAGTCTGGAGAGTTGTCCCAAGGCAGACAGGCTCAGAGCCCAGAAGCAGGAGGGGCAGGTCCGGCTTACCTGTGAGTGCAGGACGTTGCCAAGACTCGGAACCGAAGAGCAGATCACGGTAGCGCTGGAAAGCCTCATCGAGGACGGAACAGCCCGACTGCGCGGCCGATCTGACGTGGTACTTGAATTGGAAGCTGTGCGGGGAGATGGTGTAGTGCCAGTCGGAGGTCTGGATGTACTGGGGCCAAGGCCACAAGGCTGCGGCCGGCCCAGCGAACGCTGCCGCCAGCAGCAGCGAGAGCCAGAGTTTGGCGCCTGCCATGGCCCGCCAGTCTCCTAGGTCCCAGCGGGCCGGGCCACGTGACCGCCTGAGCGGCGCCCGCGTGACAACCGGCGTGTCACGTGACTGGTTGAGGCTCTTCACCCTTGATTCCGAAACATAACCTTGCCCCTTCTCCTGGCAACCCCGGTCCTCCAGTGACTTGGGCTGCCGAGGATGTTGGGCATCGGCGATGGCCTGGTTCCGCCTGCTTGTGGGCCTGGTGGCGCAGTCGCTGATATTTACCGCAGATGCCATGCCTGCCCTCCTCATAGAACTGTGAGCGCTGCAGCTGTTGAAGTGCCACTAAGGGAGCGGGAAAGTCCTCAGACTGGGGATTTCTAAGCTGAATCATGAAGGAGGAATAAGTGTTCGCCAAGAAGCAGAAGAGAGGATTAAAACCACAGATTGTGATTCAAAATGCTGTGGGGCTGGGCTTAGGTAATAGGAAATGGCCTTTCTAAAGAGAGGATCATAAGATCACAAAAATATGATCTATTTATGACTGGGGGTGGGGTGGGGGAAATGAGCTTTCAGAGCAAGCTTGATGTGTTGTAATTCCTGCTTCTCCTGGCTCTTCTCTTGATATTCAGGTAACTTTCCCTAACACTCTTCTCCCCAGCCAAAACTTCACAAACTGGGGGATCTGTACTTAACTGCAAGTAGTAAGACAAAATTGGTTGAACTTTAGGTTCAATATGGAGAATTCCCAGAGATAAGACAGAGGCCTGGTCCTACAGGAGCTTATATAGAAGTCCAAGGCCAGGGCTTTATTCTGTGTGCAATTGAAAGCCACCCATGATATCTGCATTTTAGAAATCTCATGTTCAATAATTGGATGAAAAAGAATCCAGTTAGGTTTTTTTAAAACATGTAAATGGAGAGCTTGAATTATAGCATTGGGGAAGGAAAAGAGCTATAGATCAAGGAAATAGTGGGTATTCAGAAGTACGGGGCTTAATATAATAAAGGTTTGAGGGCTGATCAATGAGAACCCGCAGATACTTGAGTCAGGGACACTGTCTTCCTTTTTCACAGCTTGGTTGAATAACAGACTAAAAAAGGAGAATAGCTGAAACCGGTGTGGCTCAGTGGATAAAGCGTCGGCCTGTGGACTAAAAGGTCCCACGTTCAATTCCAGTCATGGGCATGAACCTTGGTTGTGGGCACATCTCCAGTGGGGGGTGTGCAAGAGGCAGCTGATAAATGATTCTCTCTCATCGATGTTTCTAACTCTCTATTCCTCTCTCTTCCTCTCCGTAAAAAATCAATAAAATATATTTTTTTAAAAAGAAAAAGAAAAATATACTGCATGGCTTTGAAAATCTGTTTCATTTTTTTTAAAGGAGAATAAAATAATGCTATTGTGTGGCATTATTTAGTTAACACATAAGTTTTTTAAATCATAAAATTTTATTTTAGTATTAGAAAAATGTGAAGATCGGGAAAATGAACTTTTCAAAATAAAGGGCTCAGATGAACAACTATCTGCCAACAAGCTGGTCAATCTGAAGGAAATAGACCAATTCCTAGCAAAATACAGTCTTCCAAAACTGAATCAGGAAGAATCAGAAAACCTGAATAGTCAATAACAAATAATGAAATTGGAGCAATAACTAATAAACAAAACAAAAAACAACTTCCAGAAAACAAAAGCCTGATCCAGATCGCTTCACATCAATGTCTCTTCCCCTCCCTTCTTTAAAAATCAATGGGGAAAAAGAAAATCCTTGGATGAGGATTAATGAACAAACAAACAAACAAATCATGGTAATTTATTCAGGGTGGGGCAAAACTGGGCTTACATTGTTTGTATAGAAAATAATACAACAGTCTATATACACTGAGTGGCCAGATTGTTATGATCTTTGAACGCATAATAATCTGGCCACTCAGTGTGTGTATGTATATATTTATTAGAGTCCCGGTGCATGAATTCGTGCATGGGTGGGGTCCGACCAGCTTAGCCAGAGGGAGGGAACAAGGGCAGTTGGCCAGCCTGCCTTCTGGTCGCACTCCTGGTTGAGGGGACAATATGCATATTAGCCTTTTATTATAGTGTATATACACTGAGTGGCCATATTATTATGTGTTCAGAGATCATAATAATCTGGCCATTCAGTGTATATAAAAACCCAAGGGACTGAACAACTGAACAACTGAATGACTGAACAACTGGTCGACTGGTTGCTCTGATGTGCACTGACCACCAAGGGGAAGATGCTCAATGCAGGAGCTGCCCCCTGGTGGTCAGTGCACTCCCACAGCCAACCTCCTGTGGCCCCTTCCCCCAGCCAACCCCCCCCCCAATCGACCCCAATGGCTGGCCAGGCTGAGGGACACCACCCATGCACAAATTTGTGCACCTGGCCTCTAGTTAGTAAATGATAATACAATAATAAACTCTCTCTTTCACATACTCACAACTGTAAGTATTTCCCCTTACCCTGTATTTAGATATTTAGTTACTCAATTTAATAGTTATATGTACACTAGAGGCCTGGTGCACAAAATTTGTGCACAGTGGGGTTGGGGGAATGTCTCTCAGCCCAGCCTGCACCCTCTCTAATCTGGGACCCCTTGAGGGATGTCCAAATGCCCATTTAGGTCCTCCCACTGGGATCGGGCCTAAATGGGCATTTGGACATCCCTCTCATAATCCAGGACTGCTGGCTCCCAACTGCTCGCCTACCTGCCTGCCTGATTGCCCCTAACCACTTCTGCGTGCCAGCCTTATCACCCCCTATCCACTCTCTTGCCAGCTTGATCGACACCTTACTGCTCCCCTGCCAGCCCCTTTGCCCCAACTGCCTTCCCCTGCTAGCCCAGTCGCCCCTAACTGTCCTCACCTGCAGGCCTGGTTGCCCCAAATTGCCCTCTCTTATAGGCCTGATTGCCCACAACTGCCCTCCCCTACCAGCCATCTTGTGGTGGCCATCTTGTATGTTGGAGTGATGGTCAATTTGCATATTATCTCTTTATTATATATAAGTAGAGGCCCGGTGCATGAAATTCATGCACGGGGTGTGTGGGGGTGTCTCTCGGCCAAGCCTGCACCCTCTCCAATCTGGGACCCCTTGAGGGATATTAAACTGCCCTTTTAAACTGCCCAATCAAACAGGTAGTCAGACATCCCTCTCACAATCCAGGACTGCTGGCTCCCAACTACTTGCCTGTCTGCCTTCCTGATTGCCCCTAACCGCTTCTGCCTGCCAGCTTGATCACCCCTAACCACTCCCATGCCAGCCTGATTGATGCTTAACTGACCCCCTGCCAGCCTGTTTGCCCCCAACTTTCCTCCTCTTCTGGCCTGGCCACCCCTAACTGCCCTCCCCTACAGGGTTGATAGCCTCCAACTGCCCTCGCTTGCAGGCCTGGTGCCTCCCAACTGCCCTCCCTTGCTGGCCATCTTGTGGTGGCCATCTTGTGTCTACATAGGGGCAGGATCTTTGACCACATGGGGGCAGCCATCTTGTGTGTTGGAGTGATGGTCACTCTGCATATTACTCTTTTGTTAGATAGGATAGAGGCCTGGTGCATGGGTGTGAGCCAGCTGGTTTGCCCTGAAGTGTGTCCTGGATCAGGGTGGGGGTTCCCTTGGGGTGTGGGGCAGCCTGAGTGAGGGGCCTGTGGTGATTTGCAGGCCACCATGCCTCCTGGCGACTCAAGCAGAAGCCCTGGTATCTGGAATTTATTTACCTTCTATAAATGAAACTTTGTAGCCTGGATCAGAGCCAAGCCTCCTGCTTGCTCTCTGGCTGCCACCATTTCTGTTTGGTTTTATGATTTTCTATAATTGAAACTTTGTATCCTTGAGTGGAGGCCTAGGCCAGCCAGGGCAGCTGGAAAGCTTGGCTTCCTCCATTGCTGGGGGCAACCCTAGCCTGCTCTTTCCAGCTCTGTGGCTGTTGCCGTTTTTCCTGGGATTTATCTTCTATAATTGAATGGAGGCCTAGGCTGGCCAGGATGTGTGGAAAGCTTGGCTTCCACTATTGAAACCCATGCCTCTCAACTGCTCTCTGTGGCTGCAGCCATCTTGGTTGGGATTAATTTGCATACCTTCTCTGATTGGCTAGTGGGCATGGCTTGAGTGGAGTGATGGTTAATTTGCATATCACTCTTTTATTAGGTTGGATGACTCATAATGGGAAATCAGATAAAGAAACATCTCTCACTGCTGTAGATTACAAGAATTCATCAAATTTCTCTTAGAAGGTTTATTATAGTAAGCTTATAGGGGGGAAAAAAGAAAATTCAATCTCTCAATTATAGTTTCAATGCTCAGATTGCATATTTACACTATTCCCTACCTTGCTTAAACCTAAATTTTCATCAGAACTAATAAGTGTCTGGGCAGTCTGTCAGTCAGTGAGGCAGGATAGATAGTAAGAAGCTTTGGAAATTCCTTGACACGTGGAATAAGGGAAACTGAGACAAAATAATTAAATAAGGCCAAACAATTTGAATAATTTACTCTCAGGTAATGAATCACAAGGTTTTATCTTCCCTAAGCAAGAATACGGGAGGAAATGGTTTACAACATTCCAGGTCATTCAGGGGAAGACTGGTCCCTCTTCTATGACATTCTTCTTTTTTTTTTTTTCCCAATGACATTCATTAAAAATAAAACCAACCAGCCCTAACCAGTTTGGCTCAGTGGATAGAGCATTGACCTGCAGACTGAAGGGTCCTGGGTTCAATTCTGATCAAGGGCATGTACCTTGGTTGTGGACAAATCCCCAGTAGGGAGTGTGCAGGAGGCAGCTGATCGATGTTTCGCTCTCATTGATGTTTCTAACTATCTATCCTTCTTCCTTCCTCTCTGTAAAAAAAAATCAATAAAAATAATAATAAATAAAACCAACCAGAAGATAATTCTGACCATTCACCCTTCATTACATACATTTTGATAGGTGCTCACTGTATTGCAATCAGGAGAGCAGTAGGTAGCATCAGCTTGTTCCCAGATTATCCCCTGAACCTGTCTCCAAGGCTCCCCCATT